AGCATCTGTATGATGAGCTTGAAAGATACATTTTCCATCAGAATCTTCTGCTTTCCTCATTCTATGAATTGCGTATAGTATTAATGAATAAATAAGTTATACTCCCTCAGGACATCTTGTAGCACCTTGTGGATTCTGTGTCACATTAAGGCATGTCTGTTACTCTTGTATAAGGTGGCCCAACCTGTTATTAAGTATAGGTCCAAGTAAAGTACCCAGCCAGTGTAGTTTGGGTTCTACTTAGCATGCAAGTCAAGTAAGACTGTCACAAAATGACAAATTTAATACTGACTAGCAGAATTTCTGGTATTTGTATAGTCAGTTACGAGTGCATGATAGCATACTGTATCATAATTATGAGGGCCTAGCATGGCCAGGTGGTTAGGGAGCTTGACTCGCAATCTGAGGGTCGCGAGTTCCAAGCATGCTCACCCTTTCAACTGTGGGAACGTTATAAAGTGATGGTCAATCCCACTATTCGTTGGCAAAAGAGTAGCCTGAGAGTTGACAGTAAGTGTTGATGACTAGCTGCCTTCCCTCTAGTCTTTCACTGCTAAATTAGGGATGGCTAGCGCAGATATTCCCCGTGTAGCTTTGTACAAAATTCAAAACAAAACAAACTATTTTTCATAATATAAATATTATTATACATATATCTAATCATCTATGTTGTTAAATGAATCTAAATTGACCTCACTATTATCTTGACTATACCTCGCTGATGATTTCTGTTATCTTTCTCTAGTGCTTCATGTTAGAATCCAGTCTTCATTGTTAGGGACATGTAATTTCTGGGCTGCATCAATGTGGGGTACAGTTCTAAGTCTTGATATATGCCACGCTTTGTATACCAGAAAGAAATGGGTAAAATTATTACTAAAATATGGTTTTGTAGATCATATTTATCATACTTGTATATCAATTTTAAACAACATTTTTAAATGGGTTGAGTTCAATAAGTTCAGCATATAAAGTTTAAGTTTAATATTGAAGTAGTCACATCAAATTTCAGTGAATAATTAATAAACTTAGAAGTGGAAGTACAGAAGTTATATTTAACAAATTATCTTAGCACTAAGCCATCTTTAATGGAATTTTTTGAGTGACCTGATAAGCAATGAATTAGTCTCTGCTATTGTAAGTTATCTCTGTCAGTGGATGTATCATGGAAACTGTTGGCATTTATTCATCATAAAAGGTTGTTATAACAGTTTTAAAAGGTTTCAAAACTTTCACAACATCCTCTTTAATGGATAGATCTTTTGACATATCTTTCTTACTTTTTAGGATTTCTTTCTCTATAAATGTTGTAAAAATTGCAGATTGTCGTTCCAAGTAAAGAGACAACATCTCAAACTAGAATTCCACCTGAATCAGTTTGTCCTGAAGAAGCTCAAGTATAATATGATGAGGGGGCAATAGAAGAAACACCTTTCATTTCAGTGTCAAGCTTGTTCTTTTCCTTTTGTTACAGCTCTGGAATTACTACTTTACTAAAGTGGTTCTTAGAAGGGATCTCGTATCTTGGTTCCAAATCCTTATGTATGTAGTCCTAAAGCCAGGACTATCTACCACTTAAAATGATCCCTTATCCTTAATCATAAAGAGTCCTGCAGCTCTTATCTCATTTGCCCTTGGACTGTTTGGGTTTAATTTCATTTTAAGTGTTCCTGGAGTTTTGGCTGAATAACACTGTACCATTTGGTGCTTACAGAAAGTGAAGCTGGTAAGACTTTACCTTAAATTGTCTTCATTTTTGGTAATTCAATACCATGTTTTCTTCTCAGGTGTGTGGCCATGTTTGATGTTCCTGTTTATAACTGGCCTCCACTTTACAAATTGTACAGGTTTTAAATCTAATCAGTTTTTCTTCCTCTGTTTTGATCCAAAACTTCAAACCCCAAATATTTCCAAACAGCTGATTTGTATGAGGAAAGTGCTTCCTCTATTATTACACTTCATGAGCCACCTGTTGTTGACACAGCATATGATAGTTTGGTTTGCTGTTTATTGAATAACTTAATGTGCTGTATTCATGACGAACAGAATTTCCAAGCCAAGTTATTGAAAATAATGAAATCTATATTTAGAATTGTTTCATACTGTTCACACATTTGCGTGGAATAGTAAATTTGTAATTTATTTTATTTAAAGCATTTGTTTTCGTATAAAATAAAATGACATTCAGAAAAAAGGAAACTGAAACCAAACTACAGCACAAACTTGATTGAACTGTTGACCAGTGAACATCAATGAATCATTACAGCACTAGTATCTTTCAAGTTTTGTAATGCCTTATCAGGAATGCTTTCATTCCAGTTCATTGAAAAAGGTGCTGCACCACTCTGGTCTAACCAATCAACTTTCTAAGGTTGAATTTTCTGCCTTGTGAACTCTATTGGTTTGGATGTTCTTCACTTGTTGTGAACTCACTTGGTTTGGATGTTCTTCACTTGTGCTACTTTAAGAACCAGAAGTCAACAACACAAGTTTACTAGATGAAACTGCTTATGAATTTTATTGCTCTTAACATTTCTCTCTCCACTTCGAACAACTCCAGATTTATCACGATCAATAAACTCTTACACTTGTAGAGGTAGGTTTACTGGTACTTCATGTATCACTTGGTTTACATGCGAGATTTTGAGTTGCTGTTGAGAAATACATCATCAGTAAAGTTCTGCTTTTAATCATTCTAACTGCAATCCCACTTATTAGTATTAATGGTGTTGGCCTTGTACGTAATAATACATTTCTTTTTCTCTGTGTTTCAATAATATAAAAGGTTTTTAGTATCCTCTCACTTTTTTTTTCTGAGTTAGAGATGCAAAGATTTTTGCTGAATACTTTTGAACTTTGAGGTATAAAAATAATGATGCTTAGATATGCATGAGTCAGGATAAGCAGATAAGCATCATGTTTGATGTGTTGGTAATATAAAAAAACAAAAGGTAAGGTTGTAAGTTGCAATAAAAATTGACCTCTCGTATATTGATGATTGGTTCATTAGGATTAGAATATATGAGCTAATGCTGTAGAGATAAAACCTGTGTGTGTATTGGGTGTGATTCACAAGAGAGAGACAAAACTATTACATGGGAAGAATAAAATGTAATTAGAAGGGTATTAAGATGATTCCTTGGATGAATTTATATTAGTTTTTCTCTTGATTACTAGTTGTAATATTTAATTTAAACATTTCATGTTGCGTGGGATGGAATGTTAAGCTAAGGATACATATTTTACTTGTTATTCCCTATGGTTCTGTTGTAGGAATGTGTTTGAACTTACTGTTTCTTTGTTTTTGTATTTTTAATATACATTTTTGTTATAAGGAACAACTGGCTTCAAATGGAGAATGCTAGTTTTAGATATGAGATGTTGTGGGCTTGAACAACCTTATCTACACTACTTATATATGTGAGGATTGCTAAGCATAAATAAAACTGATATGTTGTTCAGTCCTAGTTCTACAGATACCTAAGGTATACCTCACACACAAACTGTAGTTTCATTTGTTCAGTGCTCTTTCTTTAAATACAATCCAAGGTAAGGAGATGCTGTCTTCCTTTTAGATCTTGAAACTAACAAATAGTTGTAATGTGTTATCTTGTATGAATTGCCAGCCAGGTTTGAACCTGGGCATGTAATTAGCACTATGTAATAGCATTATAAATCTACATCTTGAGTTAGCCTAATTGGTTTAGTACCTATCTACAATCATGGCAGTTCAAGTTTGATTATAATAGAGAAAATATATATATATACTCCCTATAATTCATGACAAATCAACCAGTTACTTGATTATTTAATAAAAATAACCTATAAATCAAATTGTTGAATATTGGTTGAAAACTTTATACTTCTGTCATATACTTAAGTTTTGTTTGGAGAAAAACAGATGTAATAATGACAAAATTATGTAGACTTGGAGGACCCTAAACCACTGAAAATTTAAATTTATCAGTGAATATACAGGGTGTTCCAGAAATCTGGACCCACAGGTAAAAATATACAATTTATTTATTCAAATTGCATTCCATTGACACATATCAGTTCTTGGTATACTGTACCATCTTTCCTGAAATATGTACGACTAACATTAGAAATGTGTTTTGTTTAACTTTAAGAATATATTGTCTATTTTCTCTATGGGTCCAGACTTCTGGGACAAATATAAAATCATCCTCTGAATTAAACACAGATAAGTTATACTAGAAGGTGGAAAACCTCCATTGGAATATAGTGCTCTGAATAGAATCTTCATGGTATCGTTGTGCATGTCATTACTGAAGCTAATAGCACTTGTAACCTTAAAACAACGTATTGTTCAAGCAAAAATATCTTACTTGATCGACATGTTGATCGATTGGTAGTTTATGGATCATGGAGTCTCCGTAACTTACATTTGTAATTACTGGCTTTTTTTGTTTCCATATTTGCATTAGATATGCTTAAGTGTAGATGTGGTAACCTCAAGACATTAGTTTGTCCTACACCTTTTAGTAGTGTGAAATTGTGGTTTGAAACCATGTTGTTTTACTCTTGTCAGAGCTTTATTTAATTCATAAGGTTATGGCAGGAAAATTGATTACTGAATTAATAGTTTTTGGACTTTATGTATGTAATTTTGTCTTTAAATATTTTATAATTATTGGAAGATGTAGATTGTGTTGTTTGACTAAAGTTACAAATGATGTAAATGTTTAAGGTATTGTATTTTTATCTACTTTCAAAGTTACATTTGAATTAGTTATCTAAAGAAAAATAAACACAAATTACAGAGTTCTGTAAGTATAGAACATCAGTCTTTGGAAAATGAGTAATTTGTTCTTCCCAAAAACAGCCAGTCCTTTGGTAAGTGATAGGAAACTTTGTTTAAATAAATGTATGCGTTGTCCAGAAAGGCAATAAAGGTAAGCAGTGTAGATTTAATTTTGTTTTCCATTTCTTTACTGAATTAATTTTTAGATTCTTTGATCTTTAATATTGTATTTTAGGTCTCGTTCTCGCCGTACACGTTCTAGAAGCCACTCCCGTGGTCGTTCGGTAAGCCGCAGTCGATCTAGATCACGCAGCAGAAGTCCAGTAGCCAAACCCAGCAGAAGTCGTAGTGGTAGCAGAAAGCGTAGTGTATCCCGAAGCAGATCTGGCTCACGTAACCGGTGAGTGAGGAGTAAACCCCAGATTATAAATTGAGAAGTGTTTTTTTTTTCATTCTGTATGAGTTTTTATATTTAAAAAAAAGTGTGAAATGTTCTATCTTTTTTGTATTCCTTGTTGTTAAATAGTTGGGGGCATCCTGAGATATACATTAAAATAATCAAATGGTTAAAATAGGATGTTGTGAAAAGAAACACTAGACGAGTCTAGGATTAGTAAAACAAGTTTTCCACATCTTTCTGCAGTGTGATAATATGAAACTAATCCTAGATTCTTCTAGTAAAACAAGTTTTCCACATCTTTCTGCAGTGTGATAATATGAAACTAATCCTAGATTCTTCTAGTAAAACAAGTTTTCCACATCTTTCTGCAGTGTGATAATATGAAATTTGAAACACTAGAAGAATCTAGGATTAGTTTCATATTATCACACTGCAGAAAGATGTGGAAAACTTGTTTTATTTGAAACACTAGAAGAATGTAGGATTAGTTTCATACTATCACACTGCAGAAAGATGTGGAAAACTTGTTTTATTTGCCTTGTTTCAGGCATATATTGTTCATCAGGCTTAGTTACTAATAGTGTAACATAGAAAATGAATTTGGGCAGCAGTAATTGAGTGCAAGTGAAGCAAGTTTTCACTATGCAAACACTTGCCAAGAATTTGAGCTGGGGGTTGTAGGGGGTCACTTGAAACAAAAAAAAACTAATATATTATTTTAATCAAAGGAACTAATAGGTAAATATTGATATATTTATTTGGGTTTTGGAATAAGATAAAATGCCAAGAGATGTGATGGAAAGGAAAAAATTAAGCAAAGTGTGCATTTTTTTATTTCAGTTTTTATTGTTTTGATATCTGGTTTTTTTTCATGACATGATTTTTAGAATTTGGGTGGCAAAAATTTTGCATCCAAAAGTGGTAACTGCCCCCCAAATTTAGCTTGTATGACCTCCGAGCTAATGGCTAATAATCCACAATATATATATAGAACATTTGGACTTTGTACATAAATACACATAATTAAAAATTGAGCTGATAAGGAGAACAGAATGTGAGGAAAGTATACAGAGTAACATATGTGATGTAGAATGTTGCTGGATTTGTCATACAACAATAACTAAACAGACCTAGCAGATCTTGGACAAAAATATTTAGAAAGAAACTACAAAGTTTTGTAAATAAATAAATGGTATAATCTAATAGAGATAATTAAGATATACACTAAAACTGATATATTTTCCACAGAGAATTTATGGAAAAAGTGGTGTTGATTGCCCAGGAAGACCGCATTTGGCCTTTTCATAAACAATTCACGGTCCTTCAGCCACGTATGGTTATTTCTTTTTTCTCTGGCACCATGCTATGGCTCACTCTTATTATGTTTGGTACTGCAACCTTTTACATATGTGGAAGAAGTATGATGTTGACAATTTGTGGTTATGACGACCCTTATAATCACAATCATACATATATTTTATTTTGTTTCATAATCTGCCTATCCAAGGCACTTCCCCTGGATCTTTTTAGCTTGGGAGGACCACAATTGTTGATCACAATCATACATATATTTTATTTTGTTTCATAATCTGCCTATCCAAGGCACTTCCCCTGGATCTTTTTAGCTTGGGAGGACCACACTTGTTGATCACAATCATACATATATTTTATTTTGTTTCATAATCTGCCTATCCAAGGCACTTCCCCTGGATGTTTTTAGCTTGGGAGGACCACACTTGTTGATCACAATATCTTATGTAAGGTGTTTTCACTGGATGGACCACACTTGACGTACTCCGATGTAACCCAAAGCACGACCCTTGGCTATACGGGTTCCTTGTCACTTCCACATTAGACTTTAAGTGTTTGTCAATGCCATGCTGTTTCAAGACATGGTTATACAACACTTTTGCACTGATTCAGTGTTGTATATCTCATTGGTGCATGTAATTTAGGTTGTGTTAATTACTGGGCAAAGAGCATACCTGTTCCAGAAGTAGTACTATACCCCTTAGGTGTGTTTTCTTTTCATGTTCTTGTACATCTGTTTTTCCAGTGCAGTCACTTTCCACTTGATTGGATATTGATGTGCATTCACTGGCCCCTCCACCTTTGCAACATGGGATTCTAGCTCTGGGTGAGAGGAGTTAATACCATTTCAGAAGTTAACATTTTCTTACACTGAAAATGTATTTCTGATACTCACCCACTTCCCACCCTTCCTCCCCACTGATATGCCTGTGTTTCTGGTTTGTATCTGCCAATTCTTGAAAGTGAGGATTGTTTTGGAATAGTAGAGAGAGTTAGATGTGCTAATATAGATGGCACAGTATGATTGGTGGATGGTAGTCACATGATCAGCACATGTTCTCAAATGGTGCAAACTGATGGAGTATACAGCATTGTTAGTAAAAAAATTTAGCAATGCCTAGAGGGCAGTCCAAGATCAAGATAGCTTTGGGTGGGAAAGGTAAGTAGCTATTGGAAATATGTTTTAAGTGTCAGAATATGTTAAAGATGATTACCAATCACTTTCATTTGTTTCTCTATCCAACAAGCCCAAAAACAAAGCAAGAAACCATCATTAAGATAAGAAACTGTAATGGACAGTGCCCTTAGGGCTAGTCATTGGAGTTTTGACTATAATGTTGATTACACTAAATTTAGTTATTTGAGGATTGCAGTGGCAGGTGAAGCTCACAAGTCACTAACTCGAGGAGATTTACGGTTAGACTAAAGAAACTGATCCTCAGACTGATATTCAAAACAATACATCAAATTTATTTAAGTTTCTTAACATAGAATACACTTTAATTATTTATTAACTCTTCATAAAAGAAAAATACGTGTGGGTTAACAACACTAATACTTATAACTCATACATAGCATCAAGTTTCTTAGTTTTTATATGTTTTTTTTAGAGTTTATCCAATTCACATTAATTGACTAAGAGAGAAATAGTTTCATTACTGACAACATAGTTGATCTGGATAGAATCTCAATTCTTCCTGGAGAGAACTGATTTGAACTCCAGACATGAGTTTTTAACCCATATTTTCTTTGTATTGTTTTGACCTTCCAAATAATATACCTAACTACCTGCAAGTTGTTCTAACACTTAATTGGTCAATCTGTGAAACTTGTCGGGCTATTCCAAAACAAGAACCAAAACTCCCAAGTAATTGGTTACTGTGATGGTGAGTTCTCCGGTTGCCTTTTTACTTGTACTACTACACTGGCCTGGAGTAACAGATCTTACATCAAAGTGCAGGTTTGAGATGTTATCATGAACTTTTTAGTAGTCTTTACTGTACTACTAACTTGGCATCAGTAACTTATCACTGTCAAACTTATAGCTAGCATTTTTCTCAACATCTCTGTTGTAGCTTCATTTTTTGATAACTCTTAACTCGTGATTCTCAACACCACTTAACCAACTAACTGTACTTTCCTAGCTCTTGATGTTATTTCGTAATACAGGCAACTTTAACTTATACCATTTCATCATGTATATGTTCACTTTAAAACTAAGAAAATTGTTATAACTTATTTCTTAAATTCTTTTAAAACACTAAAATACTGAAGCAATTGTAAAATTCCCTCAAAAATATCAAATTCATTCAAAACGAGAAAGTGGCCATCTAGTAGTAATTCACAATTCTAGTGTAAATGATGTTATCGTTACCCACTTGAAGTTAGCTTTTTCACAGAAATCTGTTGTTCCTTTAAAAAGCTTAACTACAGGGTGAAACAGGAATTACCAGACAATACTAAATGAACATTAGATGTCTGTAACATATAGATACTCAATGCTTTGTACACTGTACAATCGGTGTCTTTAGGGAGTCAACCCCTGTATTATGTATGAAGTGAAGGAGTTAAAAAAAACAATGCACATAATATTAAATTTTATTACATACATTTATAGAATACACTAACTTTCATTCAGAGGAAAACTTCACAAAACAATAACAAACATTTTGTAAATGTAAAATGATGTATGGACGGCAGTGCCAAAAAGAATGCAAACAAGAATATAGGGATGATACAGCTATACATAGATCATCCTTACATCACTTTCAATATTAAAATTTAATGTTACACGTTAATATTACTGCAGTTGGAAGTTATGTATTCCTGACTATTAGTGTGCAGTTGTTTATTGTAATATCATGGTCGTGTGAGAGTAGGTATCAATGTAGTGTAACTAAGAGCCTGGTTCTTGTGTACAAGGAAAACCAAGTTGAGTCAAAACATGTCTTGAGTATTACACACACTTGGTACAAAAAATCGGTCAAATTGACCAACCTCGTAACCATTTTGTACTCGTGCATTTTGCATTGTAACATTAAATTTTAATATTGAAAGTCATATCGGTATGATCTGTATATAGCTGTATCATCCCTACATTCTTGCTTTCATTCTTTTTACCACTGCCAACCCTACATCATTTTGTATTTATAAAATGTTTATTACTTGTATATATATATGAGAAATCTGATGATTGATAACATAAATATATTGTTTTTTAAGATTCATAACGTAGGTAATTTATAAGTAGAATTATACATACTTTTCTCTATTTTGTGAGCTTTCAGTTCTCTTATCGGTCAAAAATGTACAGCAGTCTTGGTAAACAAACTGATTAATATCCTGACTACTGCCCTGATAGGAATTTGTTATAAATAGCATGCAGAATAAATGGATACTAATGCTGATTCGTCACAAACTAGGCAGTAGGATTGTGTTTAAATGAAAATAAGTGATGACATTATTAAATGTATAAATCTAGAGATTGCTTTGCAAAAAGTAGCTGGGTCGAGAAGCATATATTACTGGAAGAAATCCCTGGCCCTAGGGTATTTTGACGGCACTGAATAAGAGAAACACTTTCTTTGTAGTACAATTTTAGATAGAATATTTTTTGCTGCATGTGATTTTTGTAAATGAATTTTACAACCTTGTTTTTTTTTTTTTTATAGTTCCAGTCGATCAAAAATCATCAAGGACTCGGCAGAGAGATCACCATCCAAATCTCCTGTTAATGAGAAAAATGACAGTTGTGATAACTAGTTGATGGGAACTATCATTTAGTGTGACTAGCAGCTGGAGAAAAAAATGTTGAAGTTAAAATAAAATTAGACATTTTAGTCTGTTAATTTCTGCTATTCATTTTTTATAGTTTCTGTAACAGTGGGTGGGAAGTAGTTTTTTTATATAGGACTCTAGACTGTTAACATTCGGTTGTAACAAATATTCTGTATATGAAGTCAAACTGATTGAATGACAAGCTTCTGTGTAACATCTTTTAATTGCTTTATTTAATCCAACCTATATAACTCCACTACAAAACAAACTAGAAAAATATGTATAATTAGTATTATTCAGTTAAGTTTTAAGTGGGGTAGATAGCACGAATTATTAGTATTTTGTATTTAAAGCAGATTGTGCAAGTGTTAGCTAGATTAAAAAAAGATAAAAGTAACTGTTTAAGAGTCCTCTATGTCTTATCTATCTTTGTTGGTTTCAAAATTTCCATTAAAGAATCCAACTTACGAACATTATGTGGACACTTTTTTTTTTTATGGCTGCAGGTTTTTGTGACTTTATTTGACCATTTATTCTTGTTGTAATTGCTACAACTTGTCAATAGCTTGAAATTAAAAGCATCTGGGAAAAACCCCATCAAGTATAGTGAACCAATATGTTGTTTTTTTTCTGTTGTACTTTCAGCTCTTTTATAAATAAACATCAGCAGTTTTTGTGTTTATTATAATTTTGATGGTTTTTTTTTGTACACTTGATTATCAAAAAATATTCTGGTCACTTAAATTATACAAGAAAAACAAAAGAAGATTGATTTTACTATTTTGTAAAGAATGATCTCTTGAATTTTAGTCCAGTTACAATAATTTTCTAATACTTTTAGTGACAAACCTTGTATGTTGTAATATCACACGGGTGTAGTACACACCGTTATTGTATAGCTTCATCTATTGAGCATTTACCATTACAATTCTACTACCACTACCTTTGAGTTAATAAACAGCTGTTTTTTTTAAATATTAACTCATTCCAACACCTCAAGTTTTTTTTTCCATGTGTGAGATATTTACAACTGTTGACAACTTCAATAAAAAAACAAATCCTTTCGAAGAACAACAACAACGTAAGTGATTTTACAGTAAATTTGAACAATATCAGTATTCTTACTTAACAAAAATAAGATTATGAATATAATTACAAAAAAAGATGGATAATAACAATAATTTTATACAATACATATGATTTTATAAAGTTGTATTACAGTGAGTGTACTTGTTTCATCATAACTATATTTAGACTTAGAAATGTGGATGTAATTTTAAGTATAGATCATGGAAAGTAACCTTTACGGCTAGCGAACTGCGAGTTTATGATAGGCCACCGAGTATAAAGTAGCATGAGTGCAGTGCTTTGATGTTGATCTTTTGTACTTCCTAAACACCAGAAGAATATAATTGTAATGTTAAGTCTTAATCAAACTCTTCATATTTTGTCAATATAAAACATTAATAGATAAGTGCTGGCTCCTGAATTTATCATTGTCATGACTGGACTTAATTGTCCCCTGCATTAGGAAACCATTAGAGGTTCTGCAGTCTAGATGGAAAGAGGAACATTAATATCTTCCTGTTGCTATTAGAAAATATAGTTTAGAGATTAACTTGATTAATTAATAAAGATGTTACCTATGAGCATTCGATTAGTGTCACATTAAATACTTGAAATTACAATTAAATCATTTGATGTCAAAAAATAATGAACTAATCAAACTTACTGTTTCTGATTATTCATGTTTGTGATTATTCTTACTATCGAAGTAATAAAAATATTGCCATTATGATTTCTCAGTATTTTCAATTAATTCAAGGTTTGTTCACCTTTCTCGATTATCGTCAACCGATCTAAATTAGTGTTTCGAGTTATTGCTATTTTTTATTATTCCAACTCTCGTGAGAATAATTGATTGGTTGATTCGAACAACAATTAATGAATCTCAGTTAGTCACCCATCTCTAGGATTAATAAGAGGGTCTCTCACCATATTGCTATTTAGTTTTGTGAAAAATTAGAACATTAATCCTTTTAAATTTTCTCTTCTAAATGTCCTCATGTATCCATCAAGATTTTTCTCTGAAATTTGAGTTTATACATACAAAAAGTACTCTAACGTCAATACCAAATTTTTTGCAGTTAGTTGGAAATAAAAGTTTCTTTTATTGGTTGAAAAGTATGCTGATTCGGTGTCAGTTTATGTATTTTTGGGGCTCAGTCATGCAGTTCCTTGCAACTTTGTGTTTCTACAGTTTGTTCCAAACTAATTTTTTTTTTTATAAGATTCTACACTCAACAGTTATCCCTGAAACCCCCCACCCCTCCACCCCCCAAAAAGATTTTACACTTCATGTTTTGCACTAAAACTACTATTTCAGAATTTAACTAAAGATATGGTTAGCTATCTAGAATTTTGTATTTTAAAGGCTTATAAAAATTGTAAAATCTTACTGCATGTGGGCATTTCTTAGATAATTTGTGCTCTTCACTTTTGTTGCACTTTTCAATTATGTGCTATATATTCCTTTGAATTCAGTTAACCATTACGTATTCTTTGGTTCTGAATGGATACTTTAATGAGCATGTATTTATATAAATATGATGAAACCGAATATAAACAGTGGAACAGTATTAATTGTTCATTATCTCATCCATCCTTAACATTATTAACAGTAATATAGTGATTCTGCTGTTAACGTCAGTTATTTAAATCGTTTATCTTACAAATTGTCTCCATAGTTACTAAATACTAATTAATTTATACCCGTCATTTGGACTGCCAATCTGCTGATGTTTCCAGAAAAGTCGAGAGAAGACTGTGTGGTGGTAGAGTCTGGAATTTGAACCTGCGTCTTCTTTTTAAAAATATTGTTGTGCTATCCGATTGTCTGGTGTTTTCCTAACTATTTTTGCATGAAGTTTCTGATGAAAAATTGAAATTTATTTTTAAAAATTCCTTAAATATATAATAGCTGGGGACAATTAATTATTTCTTATATTTGCTAAATATTAACGTGAATGGTCTAGGAGAGTTAAAGCGTTTATGGTGGACAAATACAATAATCAAACAAAACTTTGGTTCATTATGTTTACTTTAAACAGTGCATACTTAAGGAAGTAACGAAACTTGCTTTTCTATTCAATGGGGCTCATTTACTTGTGACCAGGTGGTTAGGGCGCTCGACTCGCAATCTGAGGGTCGTGGGTTCGAGTCCCCGTTACACCAAACATGCCCTTTCAGCCGTGGGGGCGTTATAATGTGACGGTGAGTGGTGATGACTAGCTGCCTTTCCTCTAGTCTTGCACTGCTAAATTAGGGACGGCTAGCGCAGATAGCCCTCGTGTAGCTTTGCGCGAAATTCAAAACAAACATTTACGCGTGTTTTTTTTTAACTCACTGTTGACTCTCAAGATGAAATTAATATTTGTAAAATTCGTGGTAAGATATACTGCCTAAAGCAAAAGAATCTGATATTTTAGGTTGGGCAAATAGAAGCCATATAGATACGTCAGTAACTTGTTGCGAAGTGGCACCAAATATCGGTGGCATAACACAGAGTTGCTTACAAGCTCATGATATGCTATCACCAGATCCTGTTAGTGATGCTTGGGTGATGGAAATATCGTGTGAACAGATGTTCCAACCTCTACATTGTGGGGAATGGTACGATTAAAGCTTTACACTATAAGGGTGATATCCTAACAACCCTTTGTGCTGAGGTAGACTTTGAAATAGGTACTAACTTCACCATATTGCGCTCTAAGATAAAGTATTTTTGATGTTTCTTGAAAATAATTTCAAAACTATTTCCAAGAGCTCCCATTTGAAAGTATAAAAAAATAATAATAAAACCCAAATTATACAATTTTTCGAAGAACAACATGACACGTTATGCAGAAAGTGTATACCATATAATGTGCAATTAGGTTATGGATTTTAAGTGTGAGAACAGAAAAGATGGGCTAAATTACTCTAACTGAACGAGAATGATCGACGGTACAGATCATGTACCCTTGTGGTGGTTAATGATGTTAAAATATACACGATTTTCAAGTAATAGACAGATCAGGTAGGAAACAATATTAAGGAGTTAAAGATAAGTGTGACATAGCTTGGGATTTAGATCACGTTATTGTGTATTAAAGCAAGATGGTTTAGTAAATGCACGAAGAGCATTACAAGGAGAATAAACGTGCTGAAGAGAGGCTCGTAGCGGAATGTTTATGAGAGGGGTTCTAATTTGTAAAATTAAAAGTACAATCAGTAAGTCAATGCTACGGGGGAATGGGACTATTTCAAGCCCAAAATTGCAAATGCTTCAAAAGAATCTGAATTATGTAGAAAACGTTAAATACCATAAGCAGCTGCGTTATAACTGTATAAACATATTTTTGTACATCACAAAAATGGAGGGTTCGGCAGAACCCCCTGTTTACGTGCGTTAGATTAAATACTACATTCTTCATGTAATCCCCTAGGGATTTTCAAGAATTGAGAAAGTGTATAATAATAGTATTCCAAACACTATTTATCATATCCTGAGAAAGTGTATAATAATAGTATTCCAAACACTATTTATCATATCCTGAGAAAGTGTATAATAATAGTATTCCAAACACACTATCATATCCTGAGAAAGTGTATAATAATAGTATTCCAAACACACTATCATATCCTGAGAAAGTGTATAATAATAGTATTCCAAACACACTATCATATCCTGAGAAAGTGTATAATAATAGTATTCCAAACACACTATCATATCCTGAGAAAGTGTATAATAATAGTATTCCAAACACACTATTTATCATATCCATTGCCGACGACGCGTTTCGATCAACCCAGAGCTAATCATTTTCTTTTTCGTACCTCAAGCACCAAACCCATCACCTGCACCAACTCCAATTACTTTGCCAGCTGCTGTTAATATAGCCCCCCCCCCCCCCAGTGGCATGTATGTCTGCGGACTTACAACGCTAGAATCCGGGTTTGTGTCGCTTTGTGCTTAATTACAAACAAACTATTAATATACAGACTAGAAATGGTAAAAAACCTCCATTTTGTTTCAATTGTACTTTTGATATTGTGATCCTCTTTCCATCATTTCTCTGTTGTATTTTTGTGTGTGTAAAACATGTGATGATCAGGCTTTTAGATATATCTATTTTATGTGAAAAAGCTTTGTGTTTTTTGTATGCTGAGTTTAACTTGCCTTTTTTTCCTTACTCTTAAATATACGCTTGCTGTAATATTATTCAACTTCATCTTTCGTTCTTTATGTAATGTATCTATTAAATCTATGGCTTGATTATTTAACTTTCAACTGTTGTGTCTACTTACTATCTTATCAGTTAATTTTCTTAGTTCATCAAATAATCCTTCACCACTTATTTTCGTAACTTTAGACGTACCTGAAATGAGATATAGAAGTAATTTTGATCCCATAATACATTATGGAGGAGTATTTAGGGAGTGTTTGAGTGGCGGAGAAGTTATACATTTTATCAGTGGTGTGGGAACGTCGTTCCCTCAATAATTCTAACGAATCCAACCTTACAAATCTCAAACTTCGTGAAGTTTTTCCCACCTCTTGAAGAAAGAATCATTAACCCTTTCATCCAAGTTATCAAAGTATAATGAAAGAAAATATTGTAAAATAAAATGTGTAGTGCTGTTAGT